TGCTTTTTAACAGCAGTATTCCCTTTACACAGTAGCAGTTAAAATATTTTCTAAGTGTGCTGACTTTCTTTGAAACGTTCCTATGGCAGTTTGTCTTGCTTTTGTTTATCTCTCTCTTGTTTACTTCTCCCACACGCTGCATCCAACGTAGTCTGCCGAAGTCACTCCCCTCCTGTGACCCATGGTTTGTCTGTATGTGTATTCAGAGCCAGTGAGCAACGGACTTTCAAAATAATAATAATAATAAAAAATAAACTGCGTTAATGTGGGATAAAATAATAGTCGCGTTAGTAATTAATTCGTTAACGCGATAATAACACGTTAACTTGTCCAGCCCTACCTCCCCAAACCAAAAGTACTACAAAATAAAAACCCTTTCTTTTCTTGTACCATAAATAAAGCTGAAACCTAAAAAAATCTATCTGATAATGAAGTTCAGTTAAATGAGCTTCACAGATTCACTGACACATGAAAGTCTTTATATTGTTTTAATGAAATTTATATGAACAGAAGCAGGCACAAGATAGTATTGATCCAACAGTTTATTATATGTGATTGAACAATTTAACATCTGACAAATGTAAAGACCAAAAGAAACAAATTAACAAAGAACTGCAAGTAAACACTGTGAGAGCAGGAAAGAATGACAGCTCATGATGTGAAGTGTCTTCACTTCTATAAAATGCTCAACAAAGATGTTTGACGAGATGTTTATTAAAGCTCTCTCTCGTAAAAAAACTGAGAATGAGACTGGGTCAGATCATTTTGGGTCATCCAGTGGAGCTTTATGGGCTGTTTGACTGTTTTTCAGTCTGGTGCACCTTGGTCATGTAATCATTTCACTGGCTGTAAACAGTGTTTATGTACAGTCTTTCTCATTAATGTTAAAAAATACTGAGTTAGGCAAGCTTATTTGTATATCACATTTCAAGATTTTGTGTATAAGGCAAACAAAGTGCATTAGAACATCATTCAAAAGCATACTCAAGATATAAAGTTAATCCAAGTAGAATATATTGAAGGATCGTTTCCCCCCTAAAAACGACTTAGCATAAGGCCAAAAAACTGTTTTTGTTGCACAGTGCTGAAAGATTTCAATCAGTGTGACGTACAATCATTGCTTGATTTAATGCAAGTATGAATACTAATTATACATGAATCACCTGCTAGTTGTTACTGTGGTACTGGTATAATGATTGGTAATAGGCAATGACTTTCTGGTAATGGTGAAAAATGTATATTTGATCAAGAGGAGGACACAGCAGTGAGGCATTTGGGGTAGATGTGGTAGAAAGTGGGCCAGATGTGGAACTGGGAGGGGCAGATGTGTCAGTAAGAGGGGCAGATGTGTCAGTAAAAGGGGAAGATGTGGAACTGGGAGGGGCAGATGTGTCAGTAAAAGGGGCAGATGTGGAACTGGGAGGGGCAGATGTGGCACTAAGAGGGGCAGATGTGGTAGAAAGTGGGCCAGATGTGGTAGGTTTGGTAGAAGTGGGTTCCTCAGAAGTGATAGCTGTTTGAGTTGGAGCTTTGGCTGTTACATCAACCCTCTTAGAGTTTGTTGTTTGGGGCATTGCAGTTGTTGTAAGCTTGGCCGGTGTCAGTAGAATGGCAGATGATTGTTGGGTAGTAGTTACTGGGTGACTGGTCATGGCTTTTTCTGGAATGGTTGTAGTTTTGTGAAGACTCGTTGTTGCATCAGGCCTACTGTCTGGAGGACCTGTGGATTTGGTAGCAGCAACAGAAACTGTTTTGGCTGGAATAGTAGAAATAAACTCAGACGGATTTGCTGGAGTTATAACAGACATAAGAGTGGTGTTGGAAGTTTTGGGAACAGTAGTGACAACATGAGGGAGAACAGACCCTGTCACTCCCGAAAATACACTTCCAATTACACTTAATAATCCTGCTAAAGCAGCTTCTAGGCTTCCAAAAAACAATCCACTCCCTGGAATAGGTAATGGTGGAACTAGACCTCCTCCTCCTACTCCTCCTGAACCTTCTGGTATTTCCTGCTCAATTTCTTCTTTGTCTTCCTCTTCCTGGTCTTTCTTCTTTGTAGTTGTTGTAGTTGTAGCACTGGTTGTGTTAATGGTATCATGGCCAGTTGTAGATGTGGGAAGAGCAGAAGTAGTTGAAACGGGTGGTGGGCATTTGCACTTCTTATTAAGTTTTGGGTACAACTGAGTGACAGTTGTGTTGAGAGGACATTGTGTTCCTGGAAACATTGAGCTGTTTCTCAGTTCATTATGGAGCTCTGCCAAGGTCTTCGTCTGCAGATATTCATCACCACCTCGGGTGTTTTCCCCCCAGTGCGCACTTGCTAGCCACTTCATCTCACGTTTACTGTAGCAGCAGAATGCTGACCAGAGCATGGAAGGAATATTGATCTTGTTGTTGAGAAAGTTGTTTTTTCTGGGCTGTGCTCCAGTTACCAAAAAGCCTTCAGTAATATTATTATTGTTGATGCAGTATTTATCCAGAACACACCTGATGCAGCTCTCCATGTTCGCCCAGCTTCCACTGTTGAATTTGATGTCTTGTGGAACAATGTTAGTCAGGGTAAAGGTAGATTTTTTATCATTTTTGGTAAATGCATAAGAGCTTGGAAATA